CATTGTATATACTATTATACTTCAAAGAATAGGTTCGCTGTATGGGGATACGTTTTTTAGATTGTTTATGCTCTTGACCTTTCTGTGTTTTCAGCCAAATGATGAGCGAGAACTCGAACATGGCGATTTTCTGCGTTTCGGATCTGAGTTTTTGCGAGTACACGTGCATTTTGGTAGGCGACCTACATTGCTTATAAAAATTCTTACTGCAAAGGTTTTTCAAGTTCGATATGTAGTGGTATTCCACAACCTAACCTAACCAAGTTCTTTTTGTCTAATTCAAGTCTCATCTGTCTTGCATGATTCCAATTCAGGTAACAATACTTGTACTGGATGCGAGCCAGGCCTTCTCCAGTCTAATCCTACTTCGGTATCTCAAAGTCTTGTCGTTCCACATGGTGAAACTGCTAGGCGTCGGAATCTCAAAGCCATTAAGGCTATGTACGGGATAAATGACTATGTACGATTAAGCTACTACGAAAGTACTTGTCTTTTCATTTTAACATGATTGGAACTTAGGCAGAAAATGCTCGAAATCCTCGTTATGGTGTTGATCGCGCTGCGAAAAGACGAAAACTAGTTGGCTCAGAGCTGGATGTTAAACAACAAGGCTCCAAAAATGGTGGTAGTGATGACATCTATTCTGGATGCGCTGCAAAGCCTATACCTGGTTAGTGATTTTAACAACCGCTAAATCGAAAACAGGGTTATACTTGCATCTCTCTCGCTTTAGGTGTTGTAATTCCGTCGAAGGCTGATCCGGTGAAACCACTGAATGAAACAAACAAGGGCTTCCGTTTGCTTCAAAGTATGGGTTGGAAAGAAGGAGAAGGGCTTGGAAAAGAGGGACGAGGTCGACAAGATCCGGTAGGTGTAACGCATTTTGGGATGCTTACGTGAACCTTCAATCTTGTGGTCTGTTAGTAGCTTAATTGTGCTAGGTTGTTTTTGATTTGTTTTATTCTATCTTAGTCATAAAAGATAGTTAAAAGATACGCTTCTACCGGGTTATAAGATTGCCTTCGCATGAGCCCACTTGCTCGCTATGTGTAAGGCGTTTCGCATGCGTTCAATATTTCCTTCTTTCTGCATATACTCTGCAACATGTTACTTAATAGGTGCAAATCTGCAGAACACATTATAATCCTACTACCAAATTCATTTTATATTTGGTTCTCCCACCTTTATCTTCCATCATTCCCCATCCAATCTCCCACAAGTGAGGCAGTTGGATTTGCCTTTACATCAACTCTATTAGGAAAAGACCCTTCAAGTCATTTCTTTATTTCTAAAATTCTTTTTCTTCGAAAGAAATAGAAGTTCCAATGTTTATCCTAAGAAGATTGTTGAAAATGCCGTTTTTAGGTTTTTTGTGACTTTTTGCGATGCTTTGTATGAATATCAATGAAAGTCAATTATATTCTCACGGATGAGTTTATACATTGTTGCCTTGTTACGCGCGATCCACCGGAACCTTACTTTTGAGCGGCCTCAAACCTGGATAGGGCACTTTGAATTAAGGCTACTTTTTTGTAACAATATAGCAAAGTGAATGTAAATAACAAGA